AGCATGTACCGTCATTGCTATGCAATAGACGAATATACAGTGACCGTTTCTGAGCAACCTCTAGGCAAACACGTTTCCGCGGAAACTAATACTCAAGTAACAATAGACTTACTGTGGAAACTGGATGTTTTCTATGTGGTCCATGCCGAGATGTTATGATCAGGACAGTTTGAAGCAACCAGTTCACTGACAAGAGGTCCTGCATATATTTTATATACATTTATTAACATGTTTAACATGTAAAATGCAAATATCCTGTACATTATGACAAATGATTTACTACTGTAAACAGTGGCTCTAACAAGAGACAGATCCATCCTCTCGTCAGAAAGGGCACCCCACAATAACAAGACCGTAACTGTCAAACAGTAGTAAATATCTGGACATAAGCCCCAGATTGGGCTCGACACTAAGACTGACTGACTGACCGTCAGTCGCAATGTGACTTTGGCTTTGACAACCAGTTCACTTGTAAGTTGTCAGTTGTTAGTTGAGGATGGACAGTGAAGTTGAGCTCTGCAAGGGAGGCTGAGAAGAGATGGCGCTATAGTTGATTTGACAGCTGACAAGAGTTCTGCACGGGCGGCTGTGACAAGCGGACCTGCACACGGGAAGCTGAAGAATTTGAACTGTTTAAGCCGTTGCCAGGAAACGGCTGGTTAAGAAGTAGCAAGCTGAAAAAATCAGCGGGAGCTGTGGTGATTTGTAAAGTGTGGAGATCAGCAATAGCGCTGTAATTTATTTGTATTTCCGAGCTGTGTGTACAAGTGATCGATAAATCCATTCAGCAACCATACCCCGTCTATAACTACACTCCTACACGTGACAGTACATTTTGCATCCTGTTGTGTGTGTCACTACTATGTAAATTTGTCCGTCGATTACAACAACTCTACACGTCAATAATTAACTATTAGGCTCGAATGTCGATAAAATGAGTTAGTTTGTTAAAATGTTGTTATATGCTACATGTTTCGGTCGTTAACGACCTTCATCAGGCATTTATAATCAGTGAAATGCATTTAACCTTCATTAGTGAACTGTGTGTCACAATGGATCCATTGCTGCTAGTCTTTCCATGTACAAGTTTTTACATAGAATCACCATATTTAAATATATTAAAATATTTAAAATAAAGTTTATTTTAAAAGTATTGTTATTCTCTACAAGTTATCCTATTGTATATAGGGGTTTCTATGGGTGGGATGGAGTAGGGAGAATGATGTTTATATACTGTGTATNGGACTCGCTGGTTGTGTTCTTATTTGTTCTGTATAGCTATGCTTTTCCTGTATTGGAATTTTGTTCATGGCGGTGTTTCCTGGTTTCTTGTTGTGACGCAGTTTCGTTGCTTCTGCTGATGTGGTGCACCTCGTTGCGTTATTGAGAATTACCGATGGACAAATTTACATAGTTATACAAATTTACCGAGGTCTCTCCTATGACTCGAATTCAGTTTCCCACAGATATTTCTCATTAAACATTATGTCAGTAAACAATAGAATATTTCGGGAAGATTTTTAGCTGCAGAGGTTAAATGCTCCAACATTAATATTTGATTTTGTTCAAGGATCATCCTACCTACAATGCTGAGACGGAAGGATTGGTATAATGAAGCGAAATCCAACTTTCCGGGCGAAGATTTGATTCCTTCTTGTGAATATGCCGCCATCTTGAAATGTCTTAGAGATGCTCGCAAGAGAACACTGATATTTCTATGTCTCGAAGGAAACAGTTTTATATAATCAATTAATAATTATAAATTAATTGAACGAAACAGCTTTTGTCGATGCAATTTATGTTCCGCACTGTACTCGTATACTGTAGCTGGTCACGGTAACCAAGAGGTCTAAGGCATATACTGTCTTCGCTCGCTCGGAAGCCGGAATCGTGGGTTCGAATCCCACACAAGGCACGGATGTTTGGTATGTGTTTATTCTCTGTGTTTAGGTAGAGGCCTTGCGGCGAGTTGATCAGTCGTCCAAGCAGTCGTACTGTCTGTAAAATGATCAAAACGCAAAAAGAACAAACCCTCGACACCGTAGGATATAAGAGAAACGGATTAAGGTAGTAAGTAAGTAATGTATACTATAGCATTATGTGTAGGATCTACACAAAACTATGAACTATCTGTTGTTATTTTGTACTTCATATCACAGCGCGTTATGGGGCTGCGCCAGCAAATCTAATACAGCAATAATCCAAAGAAACCAATCTAAGATCCCGCGAATGATAGTCGACGCACCACGGTATGTCTCCAACGCAACTCTCCACTCCGATCTCGGTATATCTTCCGTACAAGACGTCATCCAACAAAAAAGCAACAGACACTACAACAACATCATAACTCACAAAAACCCACTCCTAAAGACGCTATGGACAAGAGAAGACAACAGACGACTCAAACGAAACTGGCCAATTGACCTGATTTGAATTACTGAGGATTCGCCGCTGGACGACCCCTCATCAAGTCATATAAACAGCCAAACATTAGCTTATAGAATGTATATTCTGATTGCTGTTCAAACAAATAAATAAATAAAAAAAAAAATCACAGCGCTAACAGTATCTATACTGTATAGCGTCAAATGGTAGTGTTATGGGGACCGGGATGGGGTGATCAAGGAAGATGCCCCTCCCCAACCCACAATTCATATGCTGCTTTTCACCACAGCTTTTATTCATTAAAATAAACAATCAGGAAAATAAATGTCATGATAAAATAACTGGAAATAAATGAAGCAAAACAAGTTAATAAAGTTATTGCGTTCCTGCAATCACTTCCCCTCTATGTGAGGTTGCTAGCCAGGCTGCGACACACAGGTCTCTACTTACATAGCGTAGCGATACTGTAGAGGACAATCATGGTAGCGTGTAGTGCTGGTAGAGATCGGTGGTCACTGCAGCTTGACGCCGGCCGCCATAGGATAGCGGTTCCCCCCTGGAGGATGGACCTTCGGCTAACTTAGACTGTCACTGTGTCTATACTGACGAAGAAGTGCTTCTACTTCCTGTGTACTGAGGTTATATGTCCATACATCCTCCTAACCATATTGTAACAGCTTTTACAATTGGACCTCTTGTTCTAAACTAGCAACTGATTGCATGGTGCTGAAGACTCGATACAGGATATGATTCATCCCCTTATTTCAAATGTTCTGATTTTCGCCCTCGGTTAAGTTATTCATCTTGCCGACATTCTTTGTCAGCTCTCCCGTGTAGGAAGTCTATGCGGTCTGGCTTCCTAATGTTACTCGCTCTGGGTTTTCTGGAACCACATCCTATATCCTGTAGCTAAGCCTTTATTCTTACATGAGTAATAAAATGATAAAATTAATGATACAAACTTGTGAATATGTCTGAAATCAGTGACACATAAATCAGTTAACATATATACATGTAGATAGGGTGAGGTCACGAGGTCACCTCATAACAGTAGAATGGTAGTTGAGTTGGAAAATATTTAGAAGGAAGTGGCAGTGGCCTACTCTAGATACCATCCCAGCAATTGCCTAGAGGAACTGAGGAAAAGCAAAGAAAGTCTCAGTTATGATTTCAAGTATTCTGGCCATGATTCGAATCGAGCTCCCACCAAAAAGAAGCCTAGAGCCTTACTTGTAGACCAACCTACTCGGTCGAGGAGTTTCATAGCGTGTTTCTCGTCACCAGATATTATTAGGATGTGAAATCAAGCATGACACGTGTGGGACATGTACAGATTAGCTCACATATGGGGATGAGCAATGCATACAACGGTCCCGCCATAGCTCAAGCGGTTAGTCGCTGGCTTTCCACCGCGACGGACCAGGTTCGAGCCCGTGTCTGATCATGTGGGATTTGTGGTTGAATAAGTGGCACAAGGGCAGGTTTTCGCCGTGTACTTCGGTTCTCCCTGCCAATCTTCATTCCACTATCATCTGAGTCTGGTACAGTAGGTCAATAGTGCCAGCATTACCAAGCGGACTAAGTCTCACCCCAATAATATTAATAATAATAATAATAATAATAATAATAATAAATGCGTACGAAGTTTTAGTATGAAACCCTAAAAGGAAGAGATCATTTCGGAGACGTAGGTGTACATCGGGCCGGTCACGTTAGCCCAGCGGTCTAAGGCATGCACTGTCTTCGCTCGCTCGGAAGCCGGCATCGTGTTTTCGAGTCCCACTCAGGGCATGGATGTTTGTGTGCGTTCTTCTGTGTTTGTGTACAGGTAGAGGCCTTGCGACGAGCTGATCACCCGCCCAAGGAGTCCTACCGAATGTGTAAGATCAAGAAAAACCGAAGTGAACGGAGAAGTTCATGGAGCCCACTGGGGCTCTAGTGCCAAGGAAAAAAAGTACATCGGATGGCGATATATACTGGATCTTAAAGAAACTTGGTGTAGGAATGTGGTCTGGATCAAAATGGCACAGGATATGATCCAGTTTCTGATCCTGGTGAACACGTCATTAAACTTTGTGCTTCGTAGAAGGAGGGAATTCCCTAACAAGCTGAGCAACTACTGGGTTTTAAAGGAGTCTGCACCCTGCTAATTAGTCAGTTCTGCAATAAGTAGATTTACAATTATCAGCGACGTGGATGGAGCACGCGGTAGTGTAGTTGATTGAGGCCGCTATGCTACAAGCCTGGAGGTCATTGGTTTGTTTCAATTGACCTAATCTTTCCAGCCACACTATCGCCCTGGGGTCGAGTCAGCCTCTAACAGAAATAAGTACGATGAATCTTCGTGTGGGTAAAGGGCGGCTGGCGAGTAAGGCTGACAGTCTCGCCGCCATCTGTAAGCAGATTGTCTAGAAAATATGGGAGCAGATCCTCCACGGCCTGTTACAGCGATAGCTTTACCTTTTTCTCTTTTATCAGTGACGTCGGTACATTGTGAATTACGCACCATCTACCTGTGTTTACATCTGCTCCAGTTGTCGTGACCCTGCAGCACACAATAAACCGTTACTGTGGTTCATTACAGGGGAGAGCGCGGTCGGTACGGATTCCTACACATGGCGGACCTTTATCCGGACAAATTGTTCAATCTGATGGGGAAGCGCCTTATAATGGCAACCTTCAACTACCGACCATACAGCATCATAGACTTGAACGCCGACCCTCCTGTTTTCGATGGAACAGAAACCCGAATCGCCTTGGAGTTCTGCAAAAAGCTAAACGCCACTTTTGACTTCAGTATCGATGCTGAGAACGAGTGGGGAGAGATTTACGAAAATGACACCGGAAATGGAATCTTGGGGTGAGTCCTGTAGTCTCCAATAGTAGTTTAATGTTGATAACATATTTTCCGGTATATAAGACGCATTTCCAGCCTACTTTCCCTTCTTCAGGAAATAAGAAATAAACTGATAAGAACGTTATGTGTGTGTTTGCATATCTTTTTGTCTGACTGCCCCTTCAGCTTTTGAATAAACTGAACACGAAGTTTGTTCTGAACTCTATGTCGTCGGAGGCTAATCAAACATGGCGTTTTCATTTTCATATAATCAGTACGAGGCCGATATTGGTCTCCGAATTTTAAGTTCTGGGCTCCTAAAATTATGCGTTGTAGAAAAATATGCAACTTCTGTAAAAGAGGGTTTACTGCAGAAGGAAACAGTAGCATGGTGACCTTGCGGCATATGTACTTTCTCATGTACGTGATGTGACAGTGCAGCCTGGATTCGATCCCCGGAAACACGCTGGTACATACAAATACCCGGTTATGGCCAGATTTTGTTGATGTTGCGTAATAGTTGAAACAGATGTTCAGGACGTATTGCTTGCCTCGGAAGTTGTAGCAGGGAAGTGCATTAAGGATAGCTTTCGAATTCGCTTATTGACACTTTCTTGTTATCATGAATCTTTTTTCGGACGTCCACGTACACGGGTGGACGGTGTTTAGCGCGACAGTTTCGCCTGTGCAAAATATGACACGTTTGTGAGATGCACCGGCGTTACGCATTCGGCTAATCACATTTCACACCCGCTTATCAAAATTGACAGTCCGATTAGTATAAGCATTTGGGCTACTCAAGGATCCAATCAGAGATTCTTACTTCGATCGAGGGCCGCGCCATAGCTCAAACGGTTAGTCGCTGGCTTGCCATCGCGGCGGCCCGGGTTCGATCCCGGGTCTGGTCAAGTGGGATATGTGGCGGACAAAGTGGCGCTGGGGCAGGTTTTTTCCGAGTACTTCGGTTTCCCCTACCAATCTTCATTCCACCAATTTCTCCACAATCACCCTCACCTATCATCTGGGGTTGGTACAATAGGCCAGAAGTGGCCTCAGTACAAGGTACTTAGTCCCACTCCACTAGCAATAAAAAGAAAATACTTCGACTGAGATTTCGGCAAGTCCAGCCTACCGAGTTTCTTTAAATTGATTGATATGATTGAGATTTGTGCTTTTGATTCCAGTTGTTCTCAAACATCGTGACTGCCAATTGCACTTCGACGGGTGCTTCTGCTCCCACAAGTTCTGTGTCTCGCAGTTGTGCATACGTGTACCAAACACTTGTACTTTCGTGAAGTTAACCATGTGTGATACCCTATCACAATTACAAAAAAGTGAACGTTGCAATGCGATAATGGCTTGAGCGTTATACTGTTCCCCATTAAATATTCGTGTACGCAATAAATTGATCACCTGTATATAAAATAAGAATCGAACTGTTAGCGACTGCTTCAATCCACTTTGTCCTAATCTGTACAGTTCCTTGACCTACACTGCGTCCATTAAGGTTCCACATGCAATGTTCCCTGAGATAAATCCTTGCTCTATGAAACCATTCTTTAACCTGCTGAGTAATGGCCGTGGATACATGGGTTTGGCCCTTGAGTTCGTCGGCTACAGAAGGTGTGGCGCCCAGTGCGGGCGGCTACATTATTATACGAGAAAGTATTGTGAACCTGAGGAAATTGATGTCAGTCTTGAGAGCTTGAACACCACTGAATAAGAAGAAATGCNGTATTGTGAACCTGAGGAAATTGATGTCAGTCTTGAGAGCTTGAACGATTTACACATTTTAACACTCATGAATTAGAAGAAATGGTTCTCAGAACTCCGTCTATATACATTGTTGTGCTCCTTGCTAGTTCCTGAGCTGCTGGACGGACATTATTCGGATTCCGTATAGAGTTTACCTATCGTAAGTCGGTGCCCGGTGAATGTCAGTATTATAGCTCCAAAACAAGGGGAATAGGCTCTGAAAATTTTTATCAAATTTAAGTATATTATGGAGAACATCGCCCTAAATACGACTGCATAGGGAATATGTTCAGGAAAATAACGGCGTTCCCACTAGGAGCCCAAATGTTTACGTAACGGTTACTATTCCTAGCGTGTATAATCACCGACCAAGAGAGGTTTACCGAAAAACAACAGATTACCTTCCCAGAGGTAACGTCGTTGAAGGTAGTCGGGTTTTTTTTAAGGTAAAGTAGTACACTGGTTCAAGATTGAGCCTTCTGGCAGTTTATTAACATTACGTCAAACTCTACGCTATTATTATTTAATTATTTAATTTATTTCCCGTTCTTTATACGTAGTGGAAGCATATACAGTAACTGGACAAAATAACGGAAACACTAGAGATGCTCTACATATTTATTTATTAATATTATGTTGGACCACATTTTTCCTTCAATAACGCCGCAATGCTTCTTAGAATGGACTCGTACAAGTTTTGAACAGTGTCTAACGGAATTTTTTACCATTCTTCTTGAAGAGAATCTTCAAGTTGCTTTAGAGATGCTGGAGGTGGGCATCTGTACCTCACTCGGTCTCCAGAACTGATCAGTCTGATGATTGTATTGGCCACGGAAGATGTTGAAGTTCGCTTTCATGTTCTTCAAACCATGACAAGCAGTTCCAGTTGTGTGAATTGGGACAATGTCGTCTTGGTAAACTGTATCGGTATTCGGAAATAATGTTTGGATCATGGGGCACACCTTATTATCCAACCTACCCACAAAATCCCTTGCAGTAATTCGGCCAAACGATCATCGAACTTTCCCTGTGTTTCACTCGGGGAACCGAACCAAACCAAACATTTCGAATTATCTTCCTTGGGTGTTCTCCAGACGTAAACTCTTCCTGATGTAGGAAACAGCGTGAAAGACCACTCATCTGACCACATCACGCGCGTATTTTCCAGCTGTCTAATGTTCAGGTTTTATGGACATGACATCACTGTTTACACATCTGAGCATTACTTTCAGTAACCAGAGGTTTAGCAGTTGCAGCCCTACCGTGGAAGTTGGATTTGTGAAGCTCACGCTATAGTTTTTGTGGAAAAGAGTCTTCAAAAGGAATATTCAGTTCTGCTGCAGTTTACCTGTGTTGCTGCAGATGTGTGATTTCTCGGGAAAAAATTCCTCGGTTTACCACGATCTTTTTCTGTCTGTTGATTTTCTCCCACTGTTCTTCACTGATGATGTCTTCACATGACTCGTGTATGCCAACACAAACCTCAGAAACTGTCGCTCTCGATACGCCTAATGTGGCAGCGTTTCTTTTAGATATTCCAGCTAAACGTGCACTAATGATCTGTCCTCTTTAAAAATCGGACAAGTCTCTCATTTCCCGATTCTTTCAAACGGACTGACAGAACAATCACTAAAGCACTGACAAGAGCACTACAGAATGTAAACACATTCAGTATTGCCAACTGAATTTTTTTCAGTGTAACCAACGCAAACAAATTCTATTCCTTATTTCACTGTGTTTCCGTTATTTTGTCCACCCCCCCCATTGGATATATCTGCCAGTTCTTACATAAATTTAGTATTAGAAACTATTGAGTTATATTTATTGAATTTTGCGTTCCGGGTTCTACGTTGTATTTATGTTGTATTTATTTGAATCGGTAGAGTGACTGGC